TTTATTTATTTTTGGGACAGAGAGAGACAGAGCATGAACGGGGGAGGGGCAGAGAGAGAGGGAGACACAAAATCGGAAACAGGCTCCAGGCTCTGAGCCATCAGCCCAGAGCCTGACGCGGGGCTCGAACTCACGGACCACGAGATCGTGACCTGGCTGAAGTCGGACGCTTAACCGACTGCGCCACCCAGGCGCCCAATGTATCGTAATGTCTTTAACGAATTCCCTGTTGTTCAATTAAGGTGTTGGCAGTTTTCTCTCTATTATAAATAATAACGTATAGCCTTGAGGTATATCTGTGATCATTTTTTTTAGGATAAATTAGTAGGCTTGGAATTTCTAGGTCATTTGCTTCGTACATTTTTAAGGCTTTTGATACAAATTGCCAAAATGCCCTCTAAAAGAGGCCTATCAATTTAATATCTGTGAGTCTGTTAAAAGTTAATCGTATTAGAGACTATCTATTAGGAATCTCTCCCATGTGATGATAAGGTAATGAATCAAGAAACAACTTCTGTCCTGGAATTCTGCCTACATTTAATTAGGTTGTTTATAAGGGGCCCCATGCATGTTATCATTTGGAGCTACGAGCAGATATACCAGGGTCCCTGATCGACCGATAAGGGCTGGCCCATTTTTTGGCTAGAGATCAAAGATCACTGTTCCGGGTTGGGAGCCTCTGCTCTAAAATAGGACTCCCTAACAGAACCGAATTTATGTCTGGAAGAAGTAATGCCCACGGTGGCTTCAGCCTGTCATGACCAGGATGACCTTATTGACTCTTGTTTGGGGAAGAGAACCTTCTTTCTTCTTAGGGAATAGGTGGCAGTCTCAGACTCAGAATTTAATGAATGGGTTGCAGTCGACCTCTGGGAATGGCCAGTGACCACTGTGTTGACACAGCATCACTATGGCAACATAACCGCTAGATGCACCATAGGGATGTCCCGTTCAGGGAATTTCCAGCTGAGCAATGACAGGTTTTTTGCAAGGGACAAAGAGGACATAAAGTGAACATGTGGTGTGGCCAAAAAGGGTAAGCAATATAAAGTGATAAAGTTGATTTTCATGTGCCTTCAAGAAACCGTCTGATTGCTCATAGCTAGAATTTATGCATAATTTTGGCCTTCATCATATTTTATATTGATTATGGAGTTGAGAGTGAGAATACCAGTTAGGCTGATATAAATACTATAAATGTAAATACTAACTAGGTATTTGAATCCTAGTTAGTCTACTTGATAGCTTTGTGACCTTGGGCAAGCATCTTTAATTGTCTGCGTCTCTCTCTTCTCATAGGGAAAAATGGAGATAATAATACTGTCTAGTTCATGATATTGTTGGGAGTATAAAATGAGTGACCATAAAGCAAACAGTATCTGGCCCATGGGAAGTGGC